GGGGACTCCGGGACGGGGGTTCTGGTTCTAACCCCCCCAGGCTAGCAGTGACCGAACAGCGCTGCCAGCTGGTAGCTGCCTGGAGGCCGCGGTGAGGGTCTGCCAGGTCTCAGCCCAGCGCCCCATGGGCCACTGCCCACCTCACCAAACCCAGCCGCACCAGCCGGCCCCTCACTGCCAGGCCCAGCAGAGGGCTGGCCAGACTGCGCTGGGGCGCCCGCGGGGCGGGTGCGAGGGGGAAGTGAGTGCAGGGCTCAGCGACCAGGTCCTGCCAACTCCGTCGCTGCACGTGCGGGCGAGCTGTCGGGGCCGGACTCACCTGCTGCTTGTGCTGCCCTGGCCCTGCCGGTCAGGAAAGGGGTCTGCCAGCCTCGCCCCTTGTGGGAGGGGAAGCGATTGTCAGGGGTGTGGTGTGAACGTGGACCCCAGGGCAGTGCAGGTTGTGCCCAGAGGCCGTGGGGCTGCTGCAGGGCACGTGGTAGCAGCTCAGGGCGGGGTGTTGGCACCGGCCTGGCCCATGTGTGGGGGGCGAACGGGGAGGGGCGGGGAAGACGTCTCCACAGTGTTGGAGGCGACTAAAGAAGCGAAGGTGTCATGGTGTGAGGCAAAGTACCGGCATGGCTCCGAAACCGGCCAGGAGCCAGAGAGCAAAGCGGGGGATTAGGAAGGTCAGTTTGTATCGGGGCCAAAGGCTCCCAGCGGCCACGGCTGGCTTGCTAGAGGCAGCAGTGATCTGGGAAGGGGGACGGACGCGGGCGGTTACACCAGGTGATTTAGGTTAACGTGAGGCACTTCAGGGAGCCCCGAAGAAGTTGTGGGGATGGGGCAGATGGTGGCAGGTGAAACGCAGTCCCGTGTACTCTGTGTGTGGATGTAAAGGGGTCTGAATCCCCCGGATCCACCCGGGAAAGACCTGCATCCAGTCAACGTGTGCAGCACTGCTCACCCGTCTCCCACAGGGCACCCTCCAGCTACAGGGGGGTCGGGAGGGTGACGAGAACCTCCCGTGACGAGGGATTGAAAAGACTGAACTTGCTCCCATAGGGAGGAGCGGAGGAGAGGGGCCGTGGGAGCAGGCTGGGCGAGAGACGGGAGCTCAGCGACTCTGTTCTCCCTGTCTCATGGAACAAAAACAAGGGCACTTGGATGACACCAAAAAGTGGGGAAGGCAAAGTCAGTACACAAGGAAATCATTTTTTCACACGTCTCATTAGCTGGTGGAACTCACTGCCACAGGAAGTCACTGAGGCCAAGAATTTAACAAGCTCTATAAAGGAGACATTTCTGCAGCTACAGGACTCCCCAGAGTCATTGCAATACATTCTGGCAGGGCTGTCGCCCCTCCTGCTTCGGGGCTTGAGCCAATCTGGGCCGGGGGGGCAGATTATCTCCATCTGCTCCTGCAGGGCTCCTGCACCTTCCCCGGCAGCGTCTGCACTAGGCACTGGCACAGGCAGGCGGACCCGGGCTCTGATCCCATCTGGCAAGGCCTGTGTCCCTCTGCCCCAGTGGAGCGAGCGGGCAGGGGCTGCCTAGTGAGGCTGCTGGCTCTGGGGAGTGGCGTGGCTGCGTCCCATGGGAGCCCTGGCCAGTCGCTGCTGGCTGCAGAGCGGGGGCTGGGATGGGGAAGGGGTTGGACCCAGGTGGGGGGCTAGCTTGGTGCACTCTGTGTGGGGCATGGGGGCAGCAGAGGCTGGCTTTACAGTATGGGGCAGAGGGAGGGGGAACCCCCTGGAAGAGCTTTCGCAGGGGTCGGGTCCTGCTGCCCCACGTACCGCCTGTTTGGCTCCCAGCAGTGTCCTGGGGGTGCAGGGTAACCCCCCCCACACTCTGTCCTGCCCCTCCCCCACTCAGTCCTGACCCTCTGTCCTGACCCTCCCCCACTATGTCCTGCCCCCTCCATTCTGTCCTGGCCCACCACTCTGTCCTGACCCCCCGTCCTGACCCCTCCATTCTACCTGCCCCCCGGTCTGTCTGACCCCTCCACTTCGTCCTGACCCCTCTGTGCTGCCCCCCTCCCCGGCTTTGCACTAATTCTCCCCCTGCCCGCAGCGCTGCAAGGACCGCCTGAACTCCCTGGCCATCTCGGTGATGAACCAGTGGCCGGGGGTGAAGCTGCGGGTGACGGAGGGCTGGGACGAGGACGGGCACCACTCGGAGGAGTCGCTGCACTACGAGGGCCGAGCCGTGGACATCACCACCTCCGACCGGGACCGTAACAAGTACGGGCTGCTGGCGCGCCTGGCCGTGGAGGCCGGCTTCGACTGGGTCTACTATGAGTCCAAGGCCCACATCCACTGCTCCGTCAAGTCAGGTAGGGCCGGGGGCCGGGCCGGGCCTGCTCGCGGGCATGTGGCCGTGGTACCCCAGAGCAGGGAGCCGGGGGCACCTGCTCAGCTGGCACCAGCCCTGGGGCTGGCACCACAGGCCCAACTCCCCTGAACCCTCTGGTCCCCTCCCTTGCCCACTCCCCACTCCAGTGCCCCCATCACCATGGGCAGCCCCCCGCACTCACCCACTCCATCCCATAGCTTCCCAACAGTCCCTGCCCCCACCAAACTCCCCCAAGCTGTGCCACCCACCCTGCCTGCACCAAACTCCCCCAGCTGTGCCCCCCACCCTGCCTGCCCTGCATCCCGCTCCCCCTGTCCGGGCCTAGCCAGCGTACCCTCGCCCTAGCCTCCATCCCCCCTTTAGTCCCCCTCGCCGCCATCCCATCCCCACCTGAACCCCCCCCAACCCATCCAGCACCGTCTCCCCCACACACTTATTCCACCTCAGGCTCTGCTCACGCCCCTGCCCCCGCTTCCTCTGCCCAAACATCAGAGCCACACGGCACCTCCCCTGCCCCCTTTGAATCTCCCCCATCCCATCCCTACTGCTCCCCCCCAACCTGTGCAGGGAAGACAGCGGCTCCCTGGCCGTGGGGAGATGGGAGGCAGGGGTTGGTTGCTCTGGGGTGATAACAAACAGCTCGGGATAGAGCTCAGACGTGGCATCTCGAAACATCCCAGCTTGGCAATGTCTGCTCAGGAGGAAACTGGGCTGGGCTAGCCGGGGGCTGTGGGTCGGGAGTGAGGGGCACCGGCAGAGCGTGGGGGGGGGCAGGGCTGGGCTAGGCAGGGGGCTGTGGGGTGGGAGTGAGGGGCACCGGCAGGGCTGGGGGGCAGGGCTGGGTTAGGCAGGGGGCTGTGGGGTGGGAGTGAGGGGCACCGGCAGGGCTGGGGGGCAGGG